TCTGAGAGTTTCAAAAATAAGAGTTCCACTGCCAAGGCAAATCGAGCTGTTGATAAGGGGGCTTCAGCATATTGTGGTGGCTCTATATCCACAGCAGCTCATTATGAGAAATTGGTATTTTTATTTCAACTTTAATCTCAATATTATATGACTCTGATACTATAATTAAAAATCAAGCTGCATAGTTTTAATTTGTGGGAGAGGAACAATAAACTGCTATTGAAATTGAAATGACAGTGAATAAACTACAAAATTATTAATAAAACTTAATTGAAGTAAAACAAAAGAATAGAACATGGTGGGAAAATTAAAAAATACACATACCCTCCTTCTTGCTTTTGAATAGATTATGCTTCCTCATCATAAGTACAACCTGTAGTTTTAGAGTAGGGATCATTGCACCAAGAGTCAGAGAGACAAAAGTATAGCTACATCAGTAATGTTAGAATTAATCATAATGTCCAAGTTAATCATAAACTCATTTTCTGGACATAAAATTCAAAAGGTAAGATTCCCACTCCGTAAGTTTCAATAGTTGAAATGATAACACTTAGTTAACTTGAAGAACTAATTAGATTTTACGGTGTCTAAATTCTGTTTTGATAGAAAGTGTATCATACTATTATTATTAACCGAGTCATGCCATGGAAAGTAGATTTGGCGATTTTTCTGGATATGTTTTCGGTTCATAATCCTATTGAGCCAAATAAAAGTAGATAGACATAAAAAGTAAAAACTACCCATGATCTTGACCTTGGCTTCGCTGTCTAGGATTACAGACACTGATCTAGGCACGTACTTTCCTGTTCAGACATAATTGAAGTAAAACACAAATTAGAAAATCACATGATGCATACTGCATAGTAGTTAAGAACTATGCCACTGCATAACAGGACTGCATCATAACTGTACCTTCTGCTGTTTCTACACATAACTCAGCACCCTAGTCAAATATGATTTTATTAATAGTCAAATATGTTACAAATATGATTTTGGTCATTTTGAATGCAAATATACTCATTATCTCACTTTTTCTCACTCTAGCTCTCATTAGTAGTAGGATGCATCGACATCAAAGCCAGAAGCCTAGATGATACAAGTTTACCATCCTTATCACCCGACGGAGTATATAAACCAACACTCAGCTTCTCTTAGGGATAAGGATACAGGTAAACACCATTTACCCGATGGAAATGGTGTAGGGGCATCTACACTGTTGAAGTAAAGGAGAAGATTCAGACATAGCAAGCGACATGGGGCATTCACATTGATCTTGAAGCCTAGATGTTTCGGTTTACCATCCTTAACACCCAATAGTGCATACAACCCAACACTCAGTTGCTCCAAGGGTCAAGGATATAGGGAAAACCGTCTACCCGAAGGAAACAACGTGAAGGTATCTATTGTCAAAACAAGAGTGAAGATCTGAATTTTCACCTTACTATCACAAGAGAAGCAATGGAGCTTCTACTCGAAGACTATATATGAGGTGTATAGTTTTCCAGCCTTATTACCCAATAAAGTGCACAACCAACACTCAACTGCTCTAAAATGTGAGGATACGAGCAAATACACCTATCCAAGGGAAACAACGCAGAAGTGCCAGCACCAAAGAGATGAAGAGAAGACACAGACAAAATGTTTACGTCTTTACTTGCCTTTGAAAAAGCAACACATAGCTATTCCAAAGGACAAGTAAAGAGAGGCAGTTATAGACATCCAATTTTGTCCGGACCAACAAAAGTAATGAAATGGACGTCTATCATCAAAGAAACCAGGAATGATTTGTTGCAAAATCGGAACGGGATGTTCCCAATTTGGAACCGGCCGTTCCAAGTTCCTAAAAGGGCCTAAAACCCTAGTTTGGAACGGGCCATTCCTAAACTGGAACGGGCCGTTCCCAAACTAGAACGGGTCGTTCCCAAACTGGAACGGGCCGTTCCAAGCTCCTAAAAAAGGGTTAAAACCTTAACTGGAACGGGTCGTTCCTAAATAGGAACGGGTAGTTCCAAGTTATGAAAAAGGCCTAAAAACCCTTGTTTGGAACGGTCGTTCTAGCCTAGCCAATTATGTGTTAATCTCATCTCTGGAACGGGCCGTTCTAGTTTCAGAACTGGCCATTCTAATTACAAAACTAACACAGAAAGGTCAGATCCAGAACGGGTCATTCCGATTTTGGAACGGGCTATTCTGGAAACTTTTTGATGTCTATAAATAGACAGCTCGGGCATAGTTCTCAGGGCTCAAAAATTTCGTCCACTCCTTAGAGCTCAAAATTTCTCTCTCTCTCTCTCCCATTGTATTTCTTGAGTTTTGTGAGGCATATTGTAGTGTGAAAGGTTGTCGCAAAGGACCCAAAATCTCCATAGTTGAAGATCTAATAAAGCTTGCTACGAGGTATTACTCATCAATCTCTTGGTCTATCTTTCTCTTCTTTTATTTCATATATTGCTATAATAAACACAATTATGTAGATATCTTAGGGTTCATCGTGTAATTTAATTTTCATGTAAATAATCATTAATAAAGGAGATTAAATATTTAAACTATTAATTCTTATTACGTTATCTTCATCATAGGGTACCGGTTTAGGGTGTTGTAGGGGTGCTTAATACCTTCCCTGCACGTAACCGACCCCCGAACCCAATTCTGGTTATCAAGGCCATTATTGGACTTTTAAAAACCTTTTCTTTTTCCAATGTTTTGAGTAAAACATTGGTGGCGACTCCATGAACCTATTTTCAAAACCATTAATTAAGGATTAGTCTGGTGTCCGGGTATTCCTTAATTGATGAGATTCTCAAAAGGATGTGTAAATCGTAGGTCGCAAGATCATAAATTTTTAGGTTGCAACAAATGGAGACTCCGTTGGGGACGTTTAAAGAGGGTTAGGCCCATATAAATGATGAAGTTAATAAAATAAGAATTATAATTTAAATATTTTCCCCGTTACTTTGTTTGTTTTATTTGTTTGGCTTTAATATCTGTTTGCTTGTTTAAATTCTGCATTTGTTTGAATAAAAATTGTACACAAACCTTTGCACACAACAGTTCCCTCTACACCTAGGGAGTGGTTGACGTACGACCGGCTCAAGTTTGGCCTTGGAGCCTGTGAGCCTTGTCGGAAATCACACTCAAGGTGATAACCGGTTACTCTAGCCCGAAATACTGTGACAGACCTTAGAGTTTGTCAGGTGACGACGACAAGGATACTGGGTCCCTATAATTGGGGCACCTTGGGGGCCTTAAGACTAGTGAGATTAGAACTATCCTTCACAATGCACTTTTCTTACAGGGACCACAGACCAAGGATTTGAATACAATTGTTCGTGGGTGTATGTTGATTGTGCGTGTGCATTTTTGATAGGAACTACTATATTTATTCTCTTAAGTGACTAATATGAAACTATCTCAACTAAATTGCTACCATTCTCATTGGGTCTAATGCAATATGACCTACAAAACAAAAGTTTTGGAGGGTTTTGTCCAAATCTGATAGATTGGGGTGTCATATATGGTTCTCATAAGCCGCCAAAAGAGGGGAAGCAAATAACTTGGATCCAAACTTTGGGTAAATCAACAACTATTAGCTCGTTAATGCCAATTTGTTTTATATTTGAATCTTGAAAATATAAAATTTCACATTATGAAATGAGTTAAAATAAATTTGAATCTTGGTTTCGAAAAGTTAAAATAATTTAAAATATGATAATTATAGTAAGCTATATTAAAATATGATCTATAAAAATCCATGAAGACATCATGTTAAATGGAAAACTGGAAAAATGCTTGAATGAAGCTAGTTATTAACTGATGTTCAAGGGTTAAAATAGAATAGAGTGAGCTAAAATCTAGGAGATAAACTAGGACATTGACTATCTAAGGGTAAGGAAATTTTCTTAAGATTATTTACACATATGAGCTAAATCAGGGGACCAAAATTGGATCAATTGTTTGACGCATTTCCTCTATTGCCTCTACCATTGGAGGTTGACTTAAAGTAGATTGAGCATGTGTTGACCGACTAAACTTTTTGCTCAAAGTACCAAGTCCATAGACATGTCCTTTGTTATTCTCACCTACAACACCTAAATATATTTCATTTTCATTGATAGAGGCAAGAGACTCTTGTGTAGATGTTCCTTCCCCAGTACACTGCAAGACCTCCTCTCGACGTTTTTGATATCTTTCCTGCAAAATAAATTAAAACATCATATTTTTACAATTAATATATAAAGATAAACTTCAAAATATATTTAGAAAAGTTGAAATGTAAAACTTACAGCAAGGTCCCGGGTCTTGTCATTAACCCAATCTCCAGTCTTCAACTTTTTTGTTTTCTCCACTATCTCCCATGCAGTTGGTGGTCGTTGAAATTCCTTAGACTACATATTTAAATATGTTTTACAAATCATCTTTTAGAGTGAAAATAAAATTTTATACATCATGTATGATGGATCTACAAGAACATCATATATATTTCTCTTTAGAAAAACATGCAATTAAAGTAAATACATTATAAAGGGTTTAACTTTTATTAGATTGTTGCTAAAATTATGATATCAATACAAATTATAAAATATATATCTTCATTAATTTTTATAGATCATATTTTAATATAGCTTACTATAATTATCATATTTTAAATTATTAATCTGATGAAAATATTTTTAAAGAATCATGTAGCTGGGGTTAGTAGTTGAGTTAAATGATAGGTTTTTAAAAG